GGGGAGAGGAGGGAGGAGGGAGGGTATGGAAGAGTTGGGAGGAGGAAGGCGATGGAGAGGGAGGGAGGAGGGAGGCGATGGAGATGGAAGCAGGAGGGAGGAGGCAGGGTATGGACGATGGAGAGGGAGGGAGGAGGGAGGCGATGGAGATGGAGATGGAAGCACGAGGGAGGAGGCAGGGTATGGCGGAGTATGGAGGAACGAGGCGGCAAAGAGGGAGGGAGGAGGGAGGCGATGGACAGGGGGGAAGGAGAGAAACGATCGACAGACAGGGAGGAGGGTGACGATGGAGATGCAAGGAGGGAGGAGGCAGGCGATGGAGATGGAAGCAGGAGGGAGGATGCAGGGTATGGTGGAGTATGGAGAAAGGAGGCGACGAAGAGGGAGGGAGGAGGGAGGCGATGGACAGGGGGGGAGGAGAGAAACGATCGAAAGACTGGGAGGAGGGTGGTGATGGAGATGCAAGGAGGGAGGAGGCAAATGAGTGCAGAGAGTAACTGCGCTAAGCGACTAGTAGCAGGGTACAAAGCGCACCCAGGAAAAGAGAAGTTTGCCAACGTGGAAGAACAAAAAGAAGGAGAAACAAGGAACAACAAGATGAAACAAAGAAAAAGAATAGGAACTTGAGAAGAGAAGCAGGAACTACTAGGAGGTAGAAAGTTATTAGAAATGAGGACGAAAAGAAAGGAGAAGAACAAAAAGAAGAAGAAAGACTAGAGAAGAATAAGAGAAGAATAATAGAAGAAAAAGAAAAAAAAGCTCACCTTCGCGCCGTTCGTGCGTGGCACAACGAACTCCAATGGCGGAGGTAACAATGGCGCAGCAGACGTGACGACAGCATGCGGAGGCGGTTACACAGCAGAGGTGAAGATGGCAGCTGCAGGGTGATGACGACTGCCACATGTGATCTCGCGGGGCGGGAAGGGCATGACTGGCAGGGCGAGGCGGGAAGGGCGCGACTGGCAGGGCGACCATAGGCGTGAGCGGGGTGGTCACGTTTAAAATTTGAAACTTGGAGCTGCCCTGCACCGTCGATCTGGGACGATCAACTGTCCAGGTTGCAAAAAAAACAAAGTGTGAAACGTGGCCTTACCGACCCTGAAAAAAAAACGACCGACTGCAAAATTTTTGTTCAGCATCCGGACGAACCAACGGCGGTGCAATTTTTTTTTTTTAGGCCTGTTTGGCCTTGGCGCTAAGGAGGTCCGAGAGGCCGACTGGGGGGGTCACCCGGCCGAGCGCCCCGAGCGTCATTCCGGGCGTCGTGGGGTACCCCGTGCGCCCGAGTTGGAAAGTTGGGTTAAAAGTCGCAATGGTAATAGTCAAGTGATGGTGATTGTGGACCGTTTCTCTAAATATGCCATGTTTATTCCCTTACCTGCTGAACCAAGGACTGAACTTGTGATCCAGAAATTTCAGATGAAATGGGTAACTGAGTATGGTTTTCCTCTATCCATCGTATCTGATCGAGATACCAGGTTCACAAGTATCCATCGTATCGGTGCGACACCCCGAAACGAATGGGCAAAGTGAACAAATAAACCGATTGTGCCAACAACTCTTGCGCATGTATGTAAGACCTGATCAAATTCATTGGGATGAGAACTTACCCAAAATAGCCAGTGCATATAATAGCAGTGTCCACACCGCTACAGGACAAACGCCTAACACACTGCACAAGGGATGGAAACCTAGGCGTCCCATTGATGTATTAACACGGGACCAATTCCTTAGGCTACCTCCAGGGACACGAGAATATGTTGTTTCATCTCAAGAAGACAAAGAAAGTAAAAGAAAACTTAAAAAAAGCTCAAGACCAAATGATTGAACAAGCTAATAGGCATAGACGACCATCCACATTTAAAGAGGGTGGTTAAATCCAAAAAGTTTTCATTAGAAGAAGATGTATCTCAAAAACTGCTGCCTGTCTACTTTGGACCCTGGGAAGTTCTCAAAGTAATTGGAGATGCAGAGGGACCGTCTTATCGCATTGATATCCCCCCTCATCTCAAAACATATCCTGTCTTTCACGCGTCCAAACTCTTGCCCTATGTAGAAGGGAAAGAATTTCCTAACAAACCCTATATGATTCCGCCATCTACGGAAGGCAGGTATGAAGTAGACAAAATCATAGAGCATGGATACTTCTCTACGGGAGCACGTGGACGACCTCAAAAGCAGTTCAAGGTATGTTTTAAGTCTCAGGCACCATCTAAGGACAGATGGTTTAGTAAAAGAGTACTTGAAACTGCTCCTGATATTGTTGCTGCTTATGAACGAGTGTTAAAGTCTTAAAAATTTCTGCGGTGGAACTCGAAAATGGGCCGGCAGGAATGCAGTAACCCTATTCAGAAGTAGTTTGGGGCCCATAACTCAGTCCTAGGCAACGCAGACCAAAGTTGGTGTGCGCTGGGCTGTGTGACCAGGACACACCCAGGCCAAAGACTGTCGCGTTTGGCTGTGTGACCAAACGCTGCACCCAGGAAAGTCAAAGGTCAAAGTCAACTATAGAGTCAAAGGTACCGTGCCCAGGCCCTTGGGTGGATACACTCACTTGTTGTGCGCAGGTACCCAGACAAGCATCCAGGCCGAAGGGAATTCAGTTTCAGGCCAATCTCGGCCTTCGTTTGCCTCAAGATCTGGACGGCTACAGGTTGCAGCATCCGGGGTCCAGACACCGAGTCTACGCTACTTGAGCGTTGACCTCCCTGGCTTTGACATTCATTCTGTCTCGCGTTGATGCTGACTTCATGCGTTGACTTCAACGCTGGCTCGTCGCTGCGACGCTGGCATTGTGATTCGACGAGGCGCTGCTGGTCCGGCATGGTGGCTGGCTTGCACCTGTTTTCTTGGCATGCTGACGTGGCAGCTGCCATAAGCTATAGCTGATGTGGCTACTGCCACATGTATCATTGGCTGACGTGGCTGCTGCCACGTCTTCTTCTGTTGCTGACGAAGCGAGGCTACGTGACTTGTATTGTTGTTCTGATTATCGTCATTCAGGGGGTGATCGGGACTGTGGAGAGATCGTGGATACGTACCTGGTTGTCTTCATGTCGACATTGCTCCAGCGATGACGAGGGACTGATTAGACGTGCCACGTGGCACATTGAGGTTACTTCAGATACTCGTTCAGACTATTGACTATCGAGGTGGTGATTGAGGAGGGAGCCCGAAGCAGGAGTGGGCCTATTTCCTCTCCTTTGTCTAATCTCCCTCCTCTCTCTTCGTCAGTGTATGAGTATCTCATCTCATTCTGTCTGGATACGATTTTGACTATTGATAATCATCAGCTGGTTGACATTCTTGCATTGTTGACGACTGTCTTCACGATCTGGGTTCATTGCAGTCGGTAGTAGAGTTGTGTGGACTTGAACCGTAGACCTACTGGTCGTATAGCTAAGGGTCAGCCAGTTGTAGCCTAGGAGTTTCAAGAAGTCGCTACTTGGCTTTTCGGAGCTGTAGGAGTCAGTCGTCGTAGCTAAGTCAGCAAGGTAGAGTCTAGTCCTTAGCTTAGTCAGCAGTCCCAGTCTAGAGTAGTCCAGTCCACCTTGTCTAGTCAGCAAGTACCAGGTGGGGCTGCACACACTTTGGGCCTGGGACCGAAGGTAGGCCAGACCACCGACGAAACGGTATAAATAAAGAGGCAGCACCCAACCATTCATTCACTCGCCTGTGAGCCATGCGGGAGCGCTGCTTATGCGACTTGTGCATCGGAGGTCTGCAGGAGCCCGATGACAAAGTGGGCTAGTGCAGGAAAACAGCGGCAATAGCCGCAAGAGAGAGGAGGAAGATGACGGCGGCCATAGCCGCCAGGTTGCTGACGTCAACAGTTAGAGTGCAGTGTGTGTGTGTGTAGGGGCGTGGACATTCAGGGTGTATCTAGTGCGGACGTGTGTGAGTGAGAGTGTGTTTGATGGTGAAGACAGTGTGCAAGGGGGAATCCAGACCAGCGTGCAGCGGTCATAGCCGCTAGATGTGACAAGTTGACTTAAGCTGAGTTCCCGGCCTTCGGCACAGTGCGCCATCGCAAGTTTGCTGCTGATTCTGAGTTGACGAAGTTGTGTTGCCATCGGCACTTACATGTATGCATGTTAAGTGAAATTGAGACAAGTCTGATTGCAAAGCAACGGTCACAATACAAGGACCTCAATCTATGCTTGACGGCAGTAAGTACACCATAAGCACGGAGAAGGCAATAGTTTGATTAATTTGTCTGTGATGGTGGACGCCTCAGTTGGACAGCAAAGCAATGATCAGAATACAAGGATCACAACCTGTGTTTGATGGCACGCTAAGCACAAGCATGGCGATAATTTGCTCAATTTCTATGTGATGGTGCATGGAGCGACAAGAAGGTTTTCGTGAGTTAACGTCTTCCCCTTTCCACACCTGAGAGATAAAGTCAACACAACAGTGTCAGGCACAAAGCTTCTTCAGCTCATTCAAGTGAAGAGAAAGAGTGTTCTCCACAAACTTGACAATAGTTGTTATGTTTTGTTACTTTCATACACTTCTGGAATCATGTACTCCTGTACTGACGCAAGTCCCAGTGGACACTCACCCGGAAACGTTCCAGTTCATCCTCCCTTGCGGCAGACTCTTGCTGTAGTCTCGAAATGATGTCAGAATCCTTCGCCTGCGAAACAATTTTGGAATCACAATCAACATCAATCACATGAAAAGCTGCAGCGTTTAACAGCATTCACAACATTGTTTGGTACTTCATCCATCAGAAAACCTTCTGATTGTGCACGTTTGGTCGTCACAACTAGAATTGAGAACGCATAGACAGGACAGTTCTTGGAGGATTATTTGTGTCATTTGCGCTATAACATATTCACCAGATCGAGCTGGAATAGGTAAGAAGGTCCTGTGAGCACGGCTACCTTACATCTTGTCGTAAAACATCACTGAGTTCTACCACCTGAGTTATTGTTGCCTGACAAACGGTGTTCTACAGATTTTTACCTCCGTCTTTTACGTGACTTGTGGCTTGATTGGACACAAGACTTTTCAATTACATCGCGAGGACTAAAAAATGTCGTTTAACGGACATGCAGCTTCTGCACAGTCTGCATGGACGAGGGCAGGAAATCTAATGGAACTGGTCACAGCAGACATAGCCCCTAGAGGAAGGAGGTCAGAAACTCCAAAGGAACCAGTCACAGTAGACGCAGCAGCAGAGAACTTCTACACAGCCCCAAGAGGAATGAAGTTGGGAACTCTAATGGAACTCGTCACAGCAAATATAGCATCAGAGCTCTCATGCAAGCAGGGATTCCATTCCACAATTTCAATAATAGCTTGCAGCGTCCACGAGAAAGCTCCAAATAGACAAAAAGAGATTGAGAGGGTAAGTGAAAGTGTGCAAACACTGTGATTCTGGAAACATTAACCTGGAATGCATGCACCTCAATTGGAGAGATGCAACAAGAGCAATTAGCTGGTGGGGAGAAACCCTAAAACGTTATATAAACCATTCTGAAGGATGATTTGCTGTTTTCTTGCAGCATGCCACTTATAGGAAACCCTAGAGGTCTGTACAGCTGCATGACTATTTGAGCAATTGACACAGCCACCCGCATCATTGACACACTAATGAGCAAAACTCAAGCCTCTAGCATGGAGCTTCTGCATGGCCCGAGAAGGCCTGTTTGGTATTCTCAGGTATACTGCTAGAACAGGTCACGTGCGAAGTAGCAGCCGACTTCTTATTGAAGCAGGAATATCATTGTACACAACTGTGCATATCTTGGCAACGGTTCTTCATCGCCAGGATATGTCAGGTGGTTTAGCCCCACAGTGAATCAAGATTTTATCATATACTCCCACTTTGTGTCCGCTGGCCCAGTCCTACGATGACTGAAGTAGTGCCATACCTTTTGCTCCAATAGGGACTCCTTTTCTCTCGTCAGTTCCCGTGCTAGTTTCTTTAGAGCTTTTATCTCCTTCATCTGCATTCACACAAGCAAAAATGGACATGATATGCTGTTAAATGGCGAGGAGCATAGGATTGCAGGGTGGAAAAATGCCGAAGATTGGACAGGACTCCTCAGGAACAAGCAACTGCCAACAACGACTGTGGCTGATCAAAGGCCCAAGAGTTGCAATCAGCAACCGACACACCTTGACACCCTTTTACTCTCCTCAGACTCCACAGAAACAAGCAATTGCCAACAATGACTGTGGCTGATCAAAGGCCCAAGAGTTGCAATCAGCAGCGGTGCGCATCCTTACACCCTTCTACTCTTCTCACACCCATGAACAGCCACAGGCACGGAAAACTAGATACTCAAAGAAAAACTGGCCGCCAAAAACAGTCAAGTTCAAGGTCTGCAGTCCCAACCATTTTTTTGCTTCGCTTCAATTTTGTGGAAGCCATCTGCAAACTGGACCTCCTCTGCGGACATTGTATTTGTTACCAGCGCCAAGAGCACTGTTCAGTACCACTCCCAACGGCAAAGGAATGCAGTTGCTCACCATGACACTCAAAACACTGTTGACTTTTCAAGTCAATTCTCCCATTCAGTTACAGATGCATTGACACTCCGATTATTCACACTTGTCTTGCATGCAAACAGCGATACAGCAACTGGCGACATGCGCCCTGACAGTACTTAAGATATCGTAACCAGATATGAGTTCTCTTCAACTGGCTATGGCGACTGGGTGCCCACACAACTCACTGTTCGCACTCTGGATCACCCTGGATGTCCCACACGCAACACTCAGTATCATATGCAACACACACACACGCTATGCTACAGCTATGRMAGCGCTAGCTGCCACTACCTATCGCTACACTACACTTCTCTGCCCACTTCGTCTTCGGGCACACTGCAGACCTCCTCGCACAAGCTGCTAAGGCAGCGCTTCCGCATGGCATCCGCAGGAATGAATGAATGGCTGGACGCAGCCTCTTGATTTATACTTCTG